TGTAAGGCGAAAACCGAACGTTCATGGGGAACAGAGGACTGTAATTCCAGCACAGATCCGGGCTGGGCTGGAAGTTGAATGACCACCCCTCGGTATTAGAAATCCGTCGATGTGACTACCGATCCCCCCTCGTCATACACAATCGTCTACGAGTAGATGGTACACTGGCACATGCACTTAATCCTGAGGACAGGGGAACTGCAGACGTAAAAGCCAAAAGAATTACCTTGAATCCCTGCCCGTCGAGGAGCTCTGGTGGATTGAAATCCTTCACCAGAAAGTATGCCAGTTTCTCCTCCAGGGTGTGGATGAGACACGACCTCGTAGCAGGGTTGGACCAATTGCCTGTGTGCTTGGAATCCGTTTGGTCAAGTCCTAGTTTGGCCTCCTCCTCCTCCATATTAATACCGTTGTTCCTGTAGCTGTTGTTGTTGGACATCGTCAGGTCCTCGGGTTTGGGATCATCGCCGTCTCTGTCGGAGAACTCACGGTCTCGGAGGCAGCCGGGGGCAGTGACAGAAGTTGAGGCCTCCGCATCCATTGCCTCAGTCTCTTTGTTGGCAAGTCGATCGATATGTTGCTCCTTTGCAGATCGTTTCTAAAATTGAGACCCAATCACACACTTATATTATTTGTGTTTACTTTTCGATCTTTTACGATATAGGGCAAAGATTGACAGATATAAAGGACACTAGTATGACAATTTTATCGTTTGGTGGCAGTCATCAATCAACCACTTGCTAACTCTGGATCTAGATAGGTTGAGGCTCAAGCCCAGACTTCTCGACCATTGAACTTTAAGTTAAGCACTCTGTCATTACGCCAAGGGTCCACTGTCCACAGGTCAGTTAGCATAGAAAGGTAGTTTATCGACCCAGTCGTGTAACGAGACATACTCGTTTATTTAGTCTTTATTCGGCCTTATTGTTGATCGCTAGCGTCTGCTCATGAAGGCTCTAGGTTGGGCTCCAAAGCGAACTGTAGCGAACGTGTCCCGTACTACAATTGCATTGGCAAACGATCATTCTACGCTATTTGGGATATATTCTTATGCTGTGTACCATCACTGGCGTCTGTTCTGAAGAAACACTCCAATCTGAATGCTGGAACTCAGCCACATCTAGCGCATATCTTTAGAGTTTATTATTGTCGTGCTTGACGATATAGATGTTCCTCTAGGTTACTAAAACCATGGCCACGTCTCGGGCAACAGTAGAAAACGGAAGGCACTCAAAGAAAGAATTTATTCCTCATAGAACCCAAACTTGCTGTTTTTCGTCGCAACTGCAAATGGTGGTGGCCAGGGCACTGGTTGGGCTCAGGATTGAGCCCAAGGCACAAAAGGACGAATATGTACTGTGAAGCGAGCGCTGAGCACTCTTCCACCATCATATACATATATATTTTTTCACGCTAGAGTGGAGCACACCGATCGACTTGTGCCTTACTGCTCAAGCTAGAACCCTCATAAGCAGACATATAATGACTTGTAGTCGATGCAGATAAGGAGATACCAGCAAAGGGAAGGGCAACCGGAGTGTCCATCTCTGGCTAATTAGCTATCATCAGCTAGCTATACCCGTTCCTAAATGTGGAGCACTTGGGATCGCTTAACGTTTAACGGGCAAGTGTGTCACTGGAACGGACGAAAGCTGGTTTACTTTAGTGTGTGTGGTCGTAGAGATCTTGAGACTCAGTGAACTTCCTCCCCACAGAATGGTCACTTGCTCAGATAATCGAACACAACGGGTTTTCGCATAGGAGACTAGTATGTACCCGAATTTGCTCAGCACACTGGCCGAATTGACGTACTCACACGAAACCTCCTGCAGCAAAGGCTACGGAGTCCTCCTGCGCGGTCCTCCCTTTGACATCTAAGCAGGCATCGAAGATTCGATTTATGACCGTATCGAGTTGAGGGCTTTCTAGGCAGGACGTCACCTGACGTGTGTGCGTGCGTTGGAGCTCTCGTGTCTGGCAGCAGTGCGTGTACGAAATGCCAGCCAGAAAAGACTGTCGAGGTTTGACAAGGCCTCCGGCGACGACGACACTTGCATGAAACCGTGTTTGCACTAAACTCATTAGTGCGGACGAACAATCACTACCGCCGCCGCTGCCGCGGTGGGCGGACACACATGAAAGTGGACGTGCGGGGGAGGGAGGGGTATGGCGAAGATGAATGACCTCTTTCTACCTTCGAGATGACAGCGGGCACGCACACGCTCAGTGAGTACAGTGCTAGAGGGCGGCACACGAAGCTCAACTCGCCAGGCCGAACAGGCACACACACACACTCACGAAAGGTAAGTTTATATTTCTCCGCTCCTTGGTGCGGTCTGAAGGGCAACACCTTGATTAGTACGCACACACAAATGTGAGGTCCATCGCCGTGACATTGTCACGCATTTTCCTTCTACAGCTTAATCAGCTAGTAATGGGGGGGGCGACTTCTTGCTCAAACTGTACGTAGTTCAGAAAAAAGAAACGTCAAACGCGAGGGGACATGTCGGGCGTCTAGCGCGGACTGTATTTTGCTTCTCAAAGACAGAAGTCAAGCGAGAGTGGGTTTGAGAGTACTCTAAACCGGATTCATTGTTCTTGTACGAGGAGACGAAGACAGGGAGACACAGTGAATCCTGGCAGGCTTTTTGGGTTGGACGGAATCTGTGTGAGACCTTAGATTATGCCTTCCACTTTCCTGTGGTTCAGTTGACCAAATTGTGAAAAAAATCGTGGCCTCGGTGAGAGTTGAACTCACACAGCAGGGAAGGCTTTTGCGCAGCCAACGCTCTACAGTTGGGCTATGAGGCTCACCGTGAGCCGTATGGAATCCACCATTACGGAACAGCAAGCTGGCTGCCCAGGCAGGATTTCATAAGCAAGTCTAACAATTCTTCTGTGAGTTGCATTCGATGGAAACATTCACGCCACTTCTCATATTCACAACCTCATTTTAACTCGGTCAACAAGCTGTAGCTTAGGTGAGGGAAGAGCAAGTGAGCCTGATCCTGCGGAAACTTTACCACTTTGCAGATTAGCGCACGACTACCCTGAGTCGGACCTGCCTGAAGCGTCAAAAGAAACAACATTCATGACTTTGGAGGCGGTCCAAATGATGGGAAAACTCGATCGTTTGTCGGAACGGGATGGGGCGGCAAGCAGTGTGAGTTCATAGTCCGTGTGTGGTAAGTGTTAGACCGGGATGCCGCGTCATTACTGCCACTACGTCGGATCCAATTGCCAGTCAAATTAACTCAGACAAACCACTGATGGTGGTTGGAAGAGGAAGGAGGACTAACG